AAATTGGTAGCATATCATTCAAGATAAACCGGGCCCGACTTCAGCCTCTCAGCAACATTTTAGATGTTTCCTGAAGTTCATATTCTGGCAGATGTGTGTTTGCCTTTCATCAGATGAGTAACCATTTTCTTGTGTCCCTTTGTCCCTAGAACTCCCACTACACTATGTCTATCAGAAGGAGGAGGCTCCTGCTGACCTGCTTTGTAATCAGGAGAGGAATTCTGGGCTGCACCATAAGGATCCAGACCATCTACAGATTAAAGAGGAACAGGAGGAACTCTGTACCAGTCTGGACCAGGAGGACCCAGAGCCTCCACAGATGAAAGAGGAACAAGAGGAACTCTGCAGCAATCTGGACCAGGAGGACCCAGAACCTCCACAGATGAAAGAGGAACANCTTTGGATGCCACTGCTCAGCTGAGCGTCTTTATTTTCCTGCGAGGTGACGCTGATACAGCAAACACATCTGAGTGAATATGATTCCTGTCTGCAGCTTGCCAGCAGGAAAACGCAGGAACTAAACCAACTTCAGTTAATGCCACAGTGCAGAGTTTCACTGCCAAGCAAGCAAAGACACAGTGATTCACCCTAAAATACAACCTCTGCACATAAAACACAAGCAGCCCTCATAAACGAACGGCGTGTTTCTCCACAACAATTCTGTGCAGTTTTTTCTTTACAGCAGCTGAACTTGGAGAATTTTCTCAACATGCACGTTTCCTGCACAGAAAGCTGAGATTTCTCTACACAGCTCCGCTTCTGTAAAGTCTGTAGAGCTCCAGCACACCAGCACACCCAAACAGCACCACGCTATGCAGCTCCACGTTGTGATGTCAGGGTAATTCAGCCGACCCAGAAACTGATTCTGAAAGGAGAATGATGATGCAGAAAATCCACTCTGGAAGTGTGAATCTGTGGTTTTATCTTCAGTTTCAAAGTAGAAATCTTCAGTTCTAGTGCTGGCAGCTAATTCCACTCATAGTTCGAGTTCTAATGTATGAAAACGCCAAGAAAAGTTCTCAGTCGGCTGCTTTCTGCAGCTTGTTGACCATGAAACTGATCTGAAGGAAACATTCAGCTGCAGTGAAACGAAGGCCAATTAAAACAAATACAACTATCTCCAACGCAGAAGTTTAGAATTCTGCACGGTGCATCAAATCTAAACCAGAAAATATGGAGCCATGTGTGAAAACATGTGTCTGACATGTTGATTTATATAGATGCATTGTTTGGTTCTCGCTTCACTTTTCTGATCAGCGAATTAACGTGCAGCTACATGAACACGTTGCACGTTACTTTCCTTATTTTTCTTTATTTTTCTTACATAAAGTACGTGTGAGCTGCTGGATTCCTTGAATTTCCCCAAGCAGATCAACAAAATGCTTATCTATCCGTCTTTATCTACAAAGACATGAAGACAAACTCCAAAAGTCGAGCAAGTTAAAGAGTTTAATAGTTTTCTGTTCAGTTTTCCAAAGATAAATTACATTATTTAAGTCACTTAATATATTTGCCTAAAACCACAGCCACAGGTCACACACTGTGTTTTAACATAACTTAATGTCTGTATATAGTAGTCTGTCTCCACTATATGGACCAAAGTATGTGGACCCACCTCTTGGTGGATCAAATCCAGCAGCCAGTCTTGCCATCTACATGCAGTCACACAGTTCTAAGTTTGTGGGAACAGTTTTCTGGTCCAGCATGGCTGTACTCCAGCGAAGCTCTGCTGAGTTTGGTGTGGAACAGCTGGAATGTCCTGCTCAGAGTCCTGACCCAAAGCCTTTGGGATGAACTAGAACAGAGATTGGGATCCAGGCTTCTCCTCCAACATCAGCGTCTGACCTCACAAGTGCTCTTCTGGATGAAAAAGCCAAAGATAATCCCACAAACTGACTCCAGCATCTGCTGGAAAGTCTTCTTGGAGTGGAAGCAAACAGTTTCTGGTAGATGTGAGTGTTGGGGATTAGCGCCCTCCAGCATGCACAGTCAGTAACTGCAGCTGTGTCAGTTCCGGTTTGGCAGCGCAGAGAATCATGGGAATGCGAGTGTTCAGATGCAAAGTGTTAAATGAGTCACTGTGTGACTGTTGAGCAGATGGGTTCTGATGTTTGTATGACAGTTTTGAGACAGAAGTTTCGTAAAGCTGATAATAGTTCATATGTTGATTCTGATAGTTGGAAAAACACTTCTGATTACTGTGAAGCACAATTGTCTTATTGTGAGAATTCCCTGAATTAAATCTGTTTCTACTCAATAATACTTGTACACGCAGCAACTCATTAAAGGAGTATTCCACACAAAGTACTACTTTGGATGAATTAAGTCTTTAAAACTACAAACGGTACTTTGGGAGGCCAACACCTCTGAAACGATTAACACTTGGAACATAAACAGTACATTCTGTTCATGGGTCGCCCGCTCAGCTAGGAGGGGCGCTAAACAACATACTGTTTTATCAGATTAGACAAACTTTACTGATCTCTCAGTTGGAAAAGTGAACAGCTGCTTGTCAGCATCTCTAGAAAACAAGTCACGCTGACGTTCTGACTGTTAAGTTTGTCTCTGTGGCTGTTTGCTGAATTACACAAGACGTGGACTCATAAATTCTGTTGTTTTCTTCATTCAAACGTCTACACATGTTAGATTCCTACAGAAAGTCTCAAAATTTAAACCTTTTCTTCTTAATCTTCATTATATTTAGTCTAAAATAAGACTGTCTTGATTTCATTTTAACGGAAAATCGAAAAAAAAAAATCCCCTCTATATTTGTGCTTTTCTGATTTCAAAGCTGCTTCACTGTAAATATATTCTGACACTTTAAAATGTAGCAGTGAAGCACAGAAAATGGGCTCTGGAATATCAATGAAATCCATTCTGATGTTTTAATGTCGGAATTAACTGATTCATCCAAGTTGGTTTTACATGAGTCAGAAAGAGTCGTTTTTATAAGAATCCTGGATTATATAAAACACAGCTGACTCTGGTGGAAACAGTTCACAGCAGTATTATAGTTCATCCATCCATTATCTATACATGGCTTTATCCTCACGAGGGTCACGGGGGGCTGGAGCCTATCTCAGCTGATTTAGGGCGAAGACAGGGGACACCCTGGACAGGTCGCCAGTCTATCACAGGGCCACACTTAGAGACAGACAACCAAGCACACTAAATTATAGTCTTTAATTAAATTAAACTTTGATTTACTTAAAAAGATATTTACAAAGAAAACCATCCATTTATCTGTTCCCTTCAAATTACCTTAATTTGTAAAAGCAGGTGCAAAGTAAGAAGCTCACAGTGAACATTGGGATCATGAATGAACATTTAATACCTGACGATAAATGGACTTCTAATGAGTAATAAAAGGATTTAAATATATTAATTAGTATTCACAGTTATTTTTGTTTGGTTTGATGGTCTTTTAATGAAAGAAATTCCTTAAAATTGACCCACAAACCATGAATATATCCTTGATTTATTTACATTAATTAGAAAATGAAGTGTATTTTAGATGAATTCCGAGTAATTTTCATGGTTTTTGGTCTATTTAAGTTGACATTATCCTCAAACTCAGCAAAAAGTAAAATCCATGCAAAAGACACTGATCCAACAATCATATTCTGAGAATGACACTAAAATTAGATTCATTTCAGACTTTTTATTAGTAAAAATTAATGAAGTTATAAGGTAAAAAAATGAAGGGATTGATATTGAATAGCAGACACATTCCAAGTTAAATTCACTAAAGTTGTGTTTGAAATACTTTGGCACAATTTCAAGGAGAATCTACAAAATTAAATCAGCCATTAGAGTCTTACTTTCTAAAACAAAAACATTAAATAGTGCCTTGGCTGTTGGTGCATTTATTAAAACTGTCTTTAATATACAATACAACTGTTATTATACAATCAGAAAACATACATGATAATACATGAAACAGACGTTTAAAACATGAGGAAACGTTTATTCATCCATCCATCCATTGTCTTCTGCTTATCCGGGGTCGGGTCGCAGGGGCAGTAGGTGGAGCAGGTCGTCCCAGACTTCCCTCCCCTTGGCGACGCTTTCCAGCTCTGCCTGGGGGATCCTGAGGCGTTCCCAGGCCAGCCGAGAGATATAATCCCTCCAGCGGGTTCTGGGTCTGCCCCGCGGTCTCCTCTCAGGTGAACGTGTTCGGAAAAGCCTCCCCGGAGGCATCCGAATCAGATGTCCACACCACCTCAACTCGCTCCTTTCGATGCAAAGGAGCGGCGGCTCTACTCCGAGCTCCCTCCGGATGTCCGAGCTACTCACCCTATCTCTAAGGCTGAACCCAGCCACCCTGCGGAGGAAGCTCATTTCGGCCGCTTGTATCCGCGATCTCGTTCTTTCGGTCACGACCCAAAGCTCGTGACTATAGGTGAGGGTTGGGACGTAGATGGACTGGTAAATCGAGAGCTTCGCCTTGCGGCTCAGCTCTCTCTTCACCACGACGGTCCTGTACAGCGCCTGCATTACTGCTGGCGCTGCACCGTGCCGCCTGTCCATCTCACGCTCCATTCTCCCATCACTCATGAACAAGATCCCGAGATACTTAAACTCCGTCGCTTGGGGAAGGACCCCCCGCCCCCGATCCGGAGGTGGTAATCCACCAATTTCCGGCAGAGAACCATGTCCTCGGACTTGGAGGGACTGATCCGCATCCCTGCTGCTTCGCACTCAGCTGCAAACTGCTCCAGTGAGTGCTGAAGGTCACGGTCTGATGAAGCCAACAGCACCACGTCGTCTGCAAAAACCAGAGACGAGATCCTGAGGTCCCCAAACCGTACACCCTCCTCACCCTGACTGCGCCTTGAGATCCTGTCCGTGAAAACCACAAACATGATTGGGGATAAGGGGCAGCCTGGCAGAGTCCAACACCCACTGGGAACGTGTCCGACTTATTGCCAAGAATGTGGACGCAGCTCGCACTTTGGTTATACAGGGACCGTATGGCTCGTAGCAGCGAGCCNCCACATGAGAACTCACACAGGTGAGAAGCCGTTCTCTTGCAAAACCTGTGGAAAAAGTTTCAGTCAAGGACGTCATTTGAAAACCCACATGAGAACTCACACAGGTGAGATGCCTTACCTTTGTAACACCTGTGGAATAAGATTTTCTGACACAACAACACATAAAAGGCACACAGCAATCCACAAAGAGGAAAAGCCATATTCCTGTGGAACTTGTGGGAAAACTTTCAGTCGTCAGGCTAACTTGGTGTTTCACATGAGAGCGCACACAGGTGAGAAGCCGTACTCTTGTACAATCTGCGGAAAAAGTTTCAGCTATAGAGCTCAGCTAACAGTCCACATAAGAACTCACTCAGGTGAGAAGTCGTCATCCTGAAACATCTATGGAAAACGTAATTTAAACAGGTTGAAAGTTTTACAGCAGCTTCTGACTGTGCTTCAACAATAATTGTGAGGAAATATGTCAGCAGTCCTTGATGATTAGACCAGATGGAGTCTGGACTGTGATGGTGGTAGAGCTCGGAGAAGAACCAGGCTGAACATCTGGATAAATGTAGTACTGGTACAGGCTGCTATATTTTTGGTATCATACTTCATCCTTCATCAGCACAGCAGTGATGTGAGATATTGTGAAGCTGTTACATACAGTCAAGACAGTCATAGTGTTTCGTTCCACAGCCATTGTTACATCTTTAAATGTCATTAATCTAATTTCTTCATCAGCAAAATGTCACATACATAGCAGCAAATTCCCCAAACAGAAACCACCTTTACTGATTTAATGTGTGATTTAAAATGTGATCTCCACAGGCTGTAATGCTGTACAGGTCAGACTGTGTGAAAACTACAGCCGTCTGTCATGAACTTAATCTGTCATCTGTTTGTTCCTCATCAGTGATTTATTTCTTGATGGATTATTGGAAATGCTAAACTTGTTTTAAACTCCATATTGATTGTAAATAAAATTTTAAAAAACTCTTCAGCTCCATGAGTGCCTTTGAAATGTTAGAAATGTATTTAAACAGATTAACATTTACAACTTGTTAAATAATGACTTTAACACTGACGAGCTCCAGCAAAGGTGTTCTTGTTGTTTATTGATTATCAATGATGTGAAGGTGAAGAAGAAATTCTCTGCAGATACTGTGTTGTTGATA